ATCGGGAGTTCTGCCGCGATGTGCGTTCGTGAAATTTGGCGGCTGGGATTAATCCGAACAATTCCTCAGAGCACTCCCCATGGTAGATGCGAAAGAAAATGCAAAGGGATGCAACATCTCTTCGCAGTGCCAATGAATCGAGCCGATCGGAAAGGGCTCGGTCGTCGACAATTCGAGCCGCTCTGCGTTGGATGCGGTCAAGTGGAAGGAGCTGGCACTGGGGAGCCCCTGCCCAGAGATGGGAACAGTATTCCATGTGAGGCCGAACTTGCGCCTTGTAAAGTAGCAGGCGGTGTGCCGGCATGAAATACTGTCCCGCTCTGCTGAGCACGTCAAGCTTTTTAGAGGCCAATTTGGCCTTCCCTTCCAAGTGACCACGAAACTGCACGTCACTCGATATGTCGACTCCGAGGATACCGATACTGGCTGAGGCAAGAAGGGAGTGCCTTGAAACTGAGGAGATACGACAAAGGGGTTCTTTTTAGCGGTAAACGCGCAAACTTGTGTCTTCTGAGGATTAAATTGGACTAGATTTAGTCGCCCCCAATCCGAGACTTTGTTCAGCAAAGACTCGACTTCAGACACAAGTTTGTTCCGGTACTCAGCGACGTTTTCCCGAGAAATATTGGCACGGCCGGTGTATAGAGCATCACCAGTGCTGTCATCCGCATAGCAATGAATGTTACCAGTTAGCAACATATCATTGATATGCAGAAGAAACAGCGTTGGTGATAGCACACAGCCTTGTGGAACACCAGCGTTAATAGGCTTGTAGTCAGAGCATGCACCGTCTACAACGACCTTGATGCTCCGATCTGCAAGGAAGCTGGTGATCCAATTGCACAATTTCTCAGGAAGCCCATAGGAAGGGAGCTTCGAAAGAAGCGCTTTGTGCCAAACCCGATCGAAGGCCTTCGCAATGTCCAGACTAACGGCCAACGCCTCCCCCTTGGACTCTACTGCCTCCGCCCATCTATGGGTCAGGTAGACCAGAAGATCACCAGCTGATCGACCCCGACGAAAACCGTATTGGCGGTCACTAATCAGCTGGTGATCCTCAAGGTACCGGATGAGCTGGCAGTTAATAATGGATTCCATTATTTTGGAGAACAAGGAGGTGATCGCGATAGGCCTATAGTTGGATGTGTCTGAGCGGTCGCCTTTTTTAGGGATCGGGTGGACAAAAGCTGTCTTCCATGAATTCGGGACTACGCCTTGGGAGTAGGAGTACCGGAAAAGACGCGTTAGCACCGGTGCCAACTCCGGAGCACACGTCCTCAGCACAATTGGGGGGATTCCGTCAGGCCCACTCGACTTCTGGATGTCCAGGGAGAGCAGTGCTTTGCGAACCGAGCGCTGTGAGAACAGCACATCCGGCATGGAGCACTCACACCGCGGGATGGTCGGCGGTGTTTCCCCCCCGTCATCAAGAGTCGAGTTGGACGCAAAAAGGGAGCCTAAAAGGTCGGCTTTGTCTTTTGAGTCATGGGCCAGTGAGTCATCCTCCCTGTGCAGAGATGGTAGTGATGGCTTACAGAAATTCCCTTGGACAGCCTTGGCGAGAGACCAGAATGCACGGGTTCCCGAAGGAAGGCGAACTAGTTTCTCGCCAATTCTGCCTATGTGCTCTGACTTTGCCTTGGCAATAACTCTTTTGAAGGACCTGGAGGCGAAGTTATACTTCTTTTTAAGTGTGCTGGTATATACATCCCGAGTCGCCGAAGCTGCAGCCCAGGCTTGATAACACTCCTGCTTACTGCGTAATGCAGTCTTACAGGAGCGACCAAACCAAGGCTGAGATCTGCCTCCGATGGGTACCACAGATGATGGAATAAATAGTTCCATTCCCTGTAGCACCACATCAGTGACAGAGTCAGCAACAGCGCTGGGATCATCCGGCGAGAAGCAAACCCGCCCCCATGGGTAGGATGCAAAGAAGGACCGCATTCCGTCCCAATCCGCCGACCTGTAATGCCAAACACGGCGGCAACCTGCAAAACGCAACCGCGAAGGGAGCGTGAGTGGCACCACACTCCGGATCAGACAATGGTCCGAAGAGCCGAGAGGGGCATCGACGGAAACCTGATATCCGTCCGGATGAGAGGTCAGCAGAAGGTCCAACAGGGAAGGTGTATGATCCTCCACATCTGGAATCCGCGTAGGCGAAGTAACCAGTTGTGTCAGACCATATGCCAAGGCAAAGTCATAAACAGATCTCCCCGCATCATCGGTTAGACGTGAACCGAGCCATTCGGCATGGTGGGCGTTAAAATCGCCAAGGATCACGATCTCTGCGGATGGGACCTGTTGTAGCAAGAAATCTGTAGCCATTTGGACGTGGTCGATGAGTCGGTCTGTTTCGGCATTACCGCTATGGGACCTATAGAGGCACCCGTAGACGCGCGGATGGTCGTCGCTGTCTACGCGTAGCCAAAGGATGGACAGGTCCGAACCTTCAAGACTGCCGAGGCGTCGAGAACAGATGTCCTCTCTGACATACACGCAAACTCCAGCCCGAGGCACAAAGGAATGCTCCAATTTGTACTCCGGGTAGGAGAGATACGAAATATCAGCCGGAGAGGAAACCTGCGTCTCGGTCAGAAAGAGCAAGGCCGGCTTCGCCGTCTCGAGATGGTAGTGGTGGTTATAATTAATGTATGATCATTTACTGAATAAACTATTTTTATTTTTATTATTTTTTATTTATTATTATGTCTGAAATGGTGACGAAGTCCAAAATGATTAACGTAAAAGTGGGTGCACCTCAAGGCTCCATTTTAGGTCCCGTATTATTTATTACTTTTATTAATGATTTAAACAATTATGTACGTAAAATGACAAACTCAACAAAGCTAGTCCTCTTTGCAGATGACACTAATGCTGTTATCTCAGCCTCTGAAATAGTGACTCTATAAATTAAAATAAACCAAATATTGGAAATCATTAGAATATGGTTTACCGTCAACGGCCTGTTGATCAACACTAACAAAACAAATGTTATGTTATTCCGTAATAACTTCAGAAAAAGCACAACCCTGAATGTTACACTAGGTGATAACACAGTACACTCTGTAGAAGTGGCCAAATTTTTAGGAGTGAGGATAGACAGTGATCTGAAGTGGAAACATGAATTAGACGAGACTGATGGTAAAATAAGCTCAGCTTGTTACGTACTAAGAAGCTTACGGGATGAAGCTGATCTTGAACATTTAAAATTGGTTTATTACGCATTGGTAAAGTCAAGATTACGTTTTTTCGAGTTTACATAAAAAATAAAAAACATAGATACGGCAAGATATATAAACTATGTGAAAGTAACGGCGTAATACTGAAGATAAAACTTTACACAGGCAAATCAGAAGGTCAGTAAGGTGGACAAACTATAAAAATTGTAACAGATTTATTAGATCATTACTTGAATAAAGGTTACAACGTATATACAGATAACTACTACGAGTATAACTCCGTTGAGCTGACAAGAAAAATGAGTGCAAATAAAACTTACTTATGCGGAACTTTGCAATCAACCCGTAAGGGTAATCCAAAAGTTGTGACATCGGCAAAGCTGAAGAAAGGTGAGATGATTTGGAGAAGAAAGGGGGAAGTAGCTGTTTGCAAATGGAAAGACAAACGCGATGTTCTAACCATTTCAAATATGCACAATCCTGAAATGATAACTATCAGAAATCGCAGGAATCAACTTAAACTAAAACCTAATATTGTTGTTCATTACAATAACGGAATGGCAGGAGTAGACCACTCTGACCAAGTGATTTCCTATTATGAGAGCATGAAAAAAACCAAATACTGGTACAAAAAGTTCGCTATTCACATTTTTCAAATATTTATACATAATGCTGCAAGAATACATAATGGTCAATCTGGATTGAACAGATCGGAGAGAATACCTCTACTGAATTTTACAGAAAATGTTATTATCCACTTGTTAGGCCAAAAGTATATCGACTATTCTGAAAGACCAGGGCAGTCCAAAGAGGTCAATCAAAGTGGTCAAGTATTGCTTCAACATTATTTGGAATATATACCACCTACAGAAAAGAAAAGCAAGCCAACTAAACCTTGTGCTGTGTGAACCAAAAATAAGACTCGCAAAGAAACAAGGTATTTTTACCCATTGTGTTCAAAAACTCCAGCTTTATGTGTAGTTGATTGTTTCAAAGCTTATCACAACTAAATATTATATTTCTACTGTTGAAAAGACGGAATTATGTCTTCTTTTGTTTGTTTGTACTACTACTCAGTACCTTATGTTTGTCATATCATAACTTTTTCCCATTAACCCTTTGAATGACAATGGCAATATATATGCCATCATGTTCTCATTTTCACATTTTTGACAGTACAGACGAACAGATTATGGTTGTTTGATTTTTGCAACAGAGAACGAAGCACTAAATAAATAAAAAAAAAGGCATGCGACCTCATTGACATCTGTCACTTGTCAGAGAAAGACTTTCGTGACGAAGTACGTATTTTGTGGTTTTCAGTTACATCTCGATTTATCTCGAAATCTGGACTACCTTTTTGTAAGTACTTACATTTATTTTATGAGTTGTTTATTATTCTTGACGAATCATTGAATATTTTTGGAAAACAATAAATATTGTTTACGTAATTTTCGAAAATCATGTCGGCAATATATATGCCACTGTTTGTATGCCGTAAGGGTACGACGGCAACATATTGGCCAATACCAGTTTAGTATTGTATTAGGAACCTACATATTTATATTTTCTTTTGTGTATTTTATAGGAATATTGATCGTCGTGAGGTGAATCTGAAACCTGATGAAGCAGAAAGAGCGTTAGAAGAATTATTTGGTTTCAGTGATAGAGCGAGATCTGAAGATGAAGCGGAGGATTCCGATGTAGAAGATTTTTCTGGTATTTTGTCGTCAAATAACTATGACCCAATCAACACTAGGATATTTCCCGAACTAAGCCCTCGACCAACATCATCACCTCAACCAGGGCCCTCAAATGAAAATCTTATGCAGCCACCACCACCAAGAAGTTAGCGACACAGTCCTTGACTTAGAACATGAACTTCAAGAAGATTTTGATCCATCAGAAATTGAGGACTCAGACGGATCCGATGCAGATGAAGACGAATGGAAAAAAGTAGCCTGGTCACAGAATCCCGTAGTTTCTCTTTTTGATTCTATTCAATTACAACCAGTTCGGAACATAGCCAATAGGACAAGGCCACTCGTATTTTTTGAAATGTTTTTTGACTCTGAAGCTATCGATATGATTATAACCCAAACTAACCTCTACGCATCACAATGCAATGACCAAAATTGTGAACAGGTGTCAGCAACAGAGATCAAAGCTTTACTGGGCATGATAATTCAAATGGGCATTCACAAATTACCCTGTATAGAAGATTATTGGTCCAGTGATCCATTACTGCATGTTGTTCAAATTGCTGAGACAATGACATTGAAGCGATTTCAAAAACTTATGAAATATTTACATCTCAATGACAATGCCAATATGCCTAACAGGAACGATGATAACTACGACAAACTGTATAAAATAAGGCCGCTGCTAGATTACATCAACGTAAAATGTCAGACAAATGCCAAAAACACACATTCTCAGTCAATCGACGAGTGTATGATAAAGTTCAAGGTGCGATCTACTCTAAAGCAATACATGTCCATGAAGCCTATAAAACGGGGCTTCAAGGTTTGGGCTAGAGCTGACAGCCACTCAGGATACTTGTATCAGTTTCAAGTGTATGCTGGAAAGACCGAAAACGTCGAAACAGGATTAGGCAGTAATGTTGTCATGACATTATGCCAGTCACTCATAAATGAAACCTATATGGGTCATATAGCATTTGATAACTTTTCTAGTCCAGCTTTACTACAAACGTTATACAATAATTGTATATATGCAACTGCTACAGTCAAAAATGACCGCCAAGATATGCCACTAATTATAAAAAAGCATAAAGCGACTGGTAATAAAGAAATTGATGAAAAGATAGCAAAGGCTGTAAAAAATGCAAACCAAAAAACAAAAAAGCTGAAAAGAGGAGAATGGAAATGGAGGGTAAAAAATAATGTTGGGTTTATTATCTGGAAAGATAACAAATTAGTAAGCATTTTGAGCACTGCATTTCATCCAAAGCAGAAAACATCTTGTGAAAGAACTCAAAATGATGGATCTAAAAAATCATTCCCTTGTCCGCTGACAATTATAGAATATACAAAGCGTATGGGAGGAGTGGACCGGTTTGACCAAAAGAGAACCCCGTACGCAGTCGGAAGAAAAAGCTCGAAGTGGTGGAAACGCATCTTCTATTTTCTTATTGATGCTGCAATAACAAACGCGTATATATTGTATGCTTCTAACATACGTAACCACACGGTATTGTCTCAAAAGGAATTTAGGCTGACATTGTCTCGAGAATTAGTAGCAAACGCAACATTCCGAAAAAGACCCTTTGCCACCATGCCAAAGTTCGCGTCCAAAAAAAGTAAGTCTGTACAATCCGAAGAAAGTGAATCAAGGCAAAAGAAACTATTTGGCGTGCCTCGAGAAATTCGTTTTTCTGAGCTGGGAGCTCATTGGCCTGTAGAATTATCCACCTATAGAAGGTGTCGTTTGTGTAGTAGTGCACACAATAATCAACGATCCAGGATACAATGTGATAGGTGTCAAGTGCCATTGTGTGCAGTGCCTTGCCTCAAAACAAAATCTACGAATATATTCGTAGTCGGCACCATGGTGAAATCCCGCACCACGAGTTATCTCGTAGCTGGCACGCAAAGGGTTAATAATATAAAAATACGGTAGACCAGGCATTGACATTCGGTACTAGGCTTGCTCGCATCACAAACATAGCCCTTGTGGCGAAGGTTCCAGCTTTAAATTGCCTATTATAAATATCCCTAAATTCGATGGCATGTATTATAAATGGTTGGAGTTTAATTCTTTAAACTCCAACCATTTATAGTAATTTTATAATAATATTTTGTCATGAATTAATGAACAATATATTTCTATATATTGTTCATTAATTCATGACAATACCAAAATAGACGACGTACATAAGTTCCACTATTTAAGCTCCTATCTGGAAGGCGAGGCAGCTCGCATTCTTAGCAACCTCGAGGTATCAGCTAAAAATTATTTAGAAGCTTGGGCACTCCTGTGCAATCGTTACGACAACAAAAGGTTATTGATCAATAATCACTTAAAGTCCCTCTTTAACATAGAAGCGGTTAGGGAAACTGACCAGTCTCTAAGATTCATTATTGATCATGTGAACAAGAATTTGCGTGCCCTAAACACTTTGGGATTACCCACCGATCAGTGGGATGTTTTAATTATTCACATTTTAACTACGAAGTTAGACAACAGTACTATATTTAAGTGGGAAGAGCATCGAAATAGTTTACCGGAAATACCTGCTCTCAACGATTTCTTCAATTTTCTCAAGAATAGGGCAGATGTTATAGAAACGGTCAATCGAAATAAAATTGATAAATCGAAAAAGCAAAATGCGAACTAAGTCTTTTATTGCGACTTCAAGGGAAGCTCTTCCTACAACTAGGTCCAATTTTACTTGCAATTTGTGCAAAGGCAACCATTGCCTTTACGAATGCATTTCCTTCAAGTCTAAGACTCCTGAAGAAAGGATTTCTATAGTCACTGATTTAAAATTATGTCACAATTGTTTGAAACCTTATCATAACACGCAATTTTGTAAACTGCCTGGTTCTTGTCGCACATGCAAAAGGAGACATAATTCTTTGCTACACTTGCCAAGAAAGAATTCTCCTGAGCCTACCACTTCTGCATCTGTTACAACGATGTCTACATTATGTTGTTCAGAAGTTTTGCTATGCACCGCTAGGGTGCGTCTAGTAAACTCTCAAACTGGTGATAGCACCACTGTCAGATGTATATTGGACAGTGGCAGCCAGTGTACAATAATTACAGAAAGAATAATAAACGAACTTAATTTAACGTCTCAACCTTCTAATGTCAATATTATTGCTATCGGTAATAATTCATTGAATTTAAGCCTAGAACGTTGCACTTTAGATTTGCATTCTCTTACCACCCAATTTAAAACTACTGTGAATTGTCTTGTGTTGGAGCACATCACTGAACAAGTGCCTAAGTTTCCACTTGACATAAAACATTGCACTAGCCGATCCCAGCTTTAATGAACCATCCGCTATTGATATGCTCATCGGTGCTGACCTATTCTGGAATTTAATAGGCACTAAAAGGCACTCTCTAGTATCAAACAACCCTAATCTTCAGAGTTCTAAACTCGGATGGATCATAGCAGGTCCCATGCCCACTATTAAAAAACAAATCACTCAGAACGAGTCTACATTTTGTAATTTTTTTTAGGTAGGTAGTTCGTTTTTGTGTAGGTCCACCACTAAAGGACTCGATAGAATGTCTAGGTGAATCTTACTACATTGCTAAATCATGTTTTCACAACCTAGAGTTACGTTTTCGTAAGAAACCAGAGCTTAAAACTCTTTACTAACAGTTTATACATGAATACGCCGAGCTTGGTCATCGCAGCTATTTGTCTGAAGAGAAAACTCCAAACTCTTATTTTCTCCCTCATCATCCTGCCATGAGAGAGAACAATGAATCAACCAAACTTCGAGTGGTGTTTAACGCCTCTCAGCCTACTACTTCTGGTTTCTCTATTAATGATCTCCAGATGATAGGGCCAACCATCCAAGATTCCCTATTTAATATTTTGCTGCGTTTTCGTCAACACAAATACGTCTTGTCTGGAGATATAGCTAAAATGTACAGACAAGTGCTAATTCGTGAGCCTGATCGGAACCTCCAGCTCATACTTTGGCGCGACAATGAAGACGAGCCTCTTCGTACACTACAGCTGAACACAGTAACATATGGTTTCGCCAGTGCAGGTTTCCTCAGTACCCGATGTATGTGGCAAATCGGGGCTGAATGTGATGACCCTAATATTAAAACCATCATCCAAAATGACTTTTACTGTGATGATCTTCTAACAGGGGCTGAGATAAAAAATGGATTATGTCACATTCAACGCGCTGTTTCCAACGAACATTCCAAAGGTTGCTTTCCCTTAAGAAAATATAGGTCTAATTCACCTAACCTTCTCCTTTCTCTAAATACAGAGGAAACAAATCTAATTATTAGCAACTCTAGCAATACACTAGGCCTCGGTTGGTCACCGACAACAGATGAAATTCATTTTCCAATTGATAATTCTAAGGCTAATAACAATAACAACCTAACAAAAAGGTCTATTTTATCATCTACCTTTCAAAAATTCGTTCCTCTTGGCTTATTAACACTTTGCACAATAAAGGCAAAATACTATTGCAAAAATTATGGATCGATAAACTAGATTGGGATGAACCAGTTCCTCCTTCCATTCAGCAATCTTAGCTTAAATTCAGCAAAAAAACTTGACGTGATTTCTGATTTAAAAATTAATCGACATGTGTTAATTAGCGAGTACATTCACGTTGAACTGCATTGTTTTTGCGACGCCTCCCAACAAGCATAATATGGTTGTTGTATTTACATTAAATCTATTGACAAAAAATTAAATGTCAAGGTGAGCTTATTTTGCGCCAAAGCTCGAGTTGCTCCTATAAAGGCTTGCACTATCCCGCGGTTAGAGCTTTGTGCCGCACTTCTAGGCGCTCAGCTAACTTCCGCTGTTAAACGGGCTCTAAGACTAAAGATAGACAAAGTTATATTTTGGACGGACTCTAATGTAGTGTTAGGATGGCTGAGGACACCTAACAAAACTAAAATGTTTGTAGCCAATAGAATCGCCGCTATCATTGACATTTCAAATCCTGAAGCTTGGCGCTACGTACCCTCACCTCAAAACCCTGCTGACCTTGCTTCACGAGGAATTGACCCCCAAGAAGTTATTAATGCTCACATCTGGTGGCAAGGACCCCCTTTTCTCAAAGAATCAGAGTCCGCATGGCCATTAGCTTCAAACAAACAAGTAGACTTACTTGAAATGAACGTCTTACCTGCTTTAGTGGCGGAGGATAAAGCTGCTACAACAGCAGTCGACTTTAACAAATTTTCCAGCTTAAATAATGTTCAAAGAACCTATGCTTGGATTTTTAGATTCATTCATAACTGTAGGAAACCCAAAAATAAACAAGTAGGACCTCTCTTAGTCCAAGAGCTTAATAAATCTCTGATCACACTTATTAAATTAGCCCAAGCAGAATCTTTTCCAAAGGAAATAAATTATTTATTAAATAATAATTTTTTTACAAAATTGATAGGTACAGAATCGAACTATTACATTGACACGGGTCACACAAACAAGTGTACGCACGGTTAGCTGCGGGAATCGCAATCAAGTATAAACATTTTGATAATTTGAAAGATTGTTTTTTTTTTTCATATATCTTATACCTACAAAAATATACTTAGAAACGAAATATAAATGGCTGCTCCAGTGACATCTAGGCACTAGAAGCCCTCTATTGGGAGTGAGACGTTGGCTGTGGACTTTGGGCTGGTTTTGTTAGTTATGATAACTTCAGCTCCGAACTTGGTGAAGTGACTTGAAGGTATACTTGGGTGACTGCTACTGGAAGTCCGGGACGAGTAGTACCATGTGTGCCGAGTTTGGGCTCATTATGTTAGTTATGATGAGACCTTACCTCCGAACTGGATGGAGACCTGAATGTGTGCTTCGGTGACTGCTACTGGAACTCCTCGACGAGTAGAACTAGGTGTGCCGAGTTTGGGTTCGTTTCGTTAGTTATGACGAGACCTTACCTCCGGACTTGGAGAGACCTGATGGTGTACTTTTGTGACTACTACTGGAACTCCTGGACGAGTAGAACTAGGTGTGCCGAGTTTGGGCTCGTTTCGTTAATTATGACGAAACCTTACCTCCGGACTTGATGGAGAGACTTGATGGTGTAATTTAGTGACTACTACTAGAACTCCTGGACGAGTAGAAGTAGGTGTGCTGAGTTTGGGCTCGTTTTGTTAGTTATGACGATACCTTACCTCCGGACTTGATGGAGAGACCTGATGGTGTACTTCAGTGACTACTTCTGGAACTCCTGGACGAGTAGAACTAGGTGTGCCGAGTTTGGGCTCGTTTTGTTAGTTATGACGAACCCTTACCTCCGGACATGATGGAGACCTGATGGTGTAATTTAGTGACTACTACTGGAACTCCTGGACGAGTAGAACTAGGTGTGCCGAGTTTGTTAGTTATGATGCACAGTTGCCCTTGAACTTGGTAATACCATTTATATTTTCTCCGACGTACCTAAACTCGGCAAACCTAGTTCTACACGTCCAGGAGTCCCAGTAGTAGTCACTGAAGTACACCATCAGGTTTCTCTTCAAGTCCGGAGGTAAGATCTCGTCATAACTAACAAAACGAGCCCAAACTCGGCACACCTAGTTCTACTCATGCAGGTGTTCCAGTAGTAGTCACCAACGTACACAATCAGGTCATTCTGTCAAGTCCGGAGGTAAGGTCTCGTCATAACTAACAAAACGAGCCCAAACTCTGCATACCTAGTTCTAATCGTCCAGGAGTTCCACTAGCAGTTACCGAAGTACACCTTCAGGTCATTCCATCAAGTCCGGAGGTAAGGTCTCGTCATAACTAACATAATGAGCCCAAACTCGGCACACCTAGTTCAACTCGTCGAGGAGTTCTAGTAGCATTCACCGTATACTTACAGATCACTCCATAAAGTCCAAGACGAATAGGATTTATATATATTTATATATTATAAATCCCACTTGCTTTTAGCGAAATAAAACATTATAATAAGAATTTGTGATTATAAAAATATTTTTATATTATGTATTACTTTACTTTGTCAGGTCAGGTATCTATTTATCAAATTCGAATATTTTTTGTTTGTACAGCGATCTTTTTCAGCTGCTGCAGGCGATACAGAGACCACCCGCGATGGCGGCCGAGCGCCGACTGTGGTTTCATCGAAATTTTTGTACAACAAATCAAAACAGGCACTAAAAATAAAATAACCCTTATTGCAATCTATTAGGATTCATCCGTATCAGCAAAATATGTCAAAAAAATAAGCATCAGTTTTTATTTTATTACGACCATTTGTGACATTTTGATAAAAAGTAAACACCAGCATTTTTTATTGAATATGTCAGCCTACTTACAGTATTTTTAGAAATCTTAATATATGTTGATAATAGAACAAAAAATGTACCGAAACATGAGCCGGTATCGTTAATTTTGTAGAAAATGGCTAGAGAAGATCCTATTTACAATGTAAAAAAACTATAATTAATTAATTTACTTAAACTTAAATTAACTTAAATAATTAATTAACTAAAAAACTATAGTTATATTTGATTTGGTTTAGTTTTGTCACAAAATGTACCGAAAAACAGCATAATTTGGCCCGATTTGCAAACGCACCCTTAAAAGCCAATAACACTCTCAGTTCATTAAATCCGTTTTTAGATGATGCAAAAGTTATACGTGTAGGAGGGCGCATAAATGCCTCCAATCACCCTTATGATAAAAGACACCCTATTGTTATCAAGGCTACTCATCGTTTAACTAAATTAATGTTTCAACATCAACACTTGCAATTATTTCACGCAGGTCCTCAAATGCTACTAGCAGCCATAAGGCAAGAATATTAGCCTATAGGAGGTCGGAAACTAGCTAGAGTCGTTGCATGTAACTGTTTCGTATGTAGTAGATTTAAGGGAAAAACTATGTGCAATATAATGGGTAATTTACCAGCTGATCGCGTCGAGCCCGACTTCCCCTTTAGAACTGTTGCAACAGATTTCGCCGGCCCCTTTCTTATCACGAATCGAAAAGGCCGTGGGTGCAAAATAACAAAGTGTTACTTATGCGTTTTTGTATGTTTTAGATACAAATGCTTACACTTAACACTTGTCAGTGAACTAACCAAAGATGCCTTCATTTTAACCTTGAAGAGATTCATAGCTCGTAGAGGATTGCCTAATCGTATCTATTGTGATAATGGGAGAAACTTTGTAGCAGCTTCAAAGGAAATAGGGCAATTTTTAAAGACAAATAAATACTCTATTTGGGACTTTGCTGCTCGCCAATCTATTGAATTTCGTTTTTCGCCTGCGTACGCTCCTCATTTCAATGGTCTGGCGGAGGCTGGTGTAAAGTCAGTCAAGTTTCATCTTCATAGAATTCTAGGCCATTCTCATCTAACATTTGAAGAGTTAGCTTCCGTATTTACACAGATAGAAGCTATCCTAAGCAGCCGCCCCCTATGTCCTTTCTCCCCATCACCTAAAGACTTCCAGTCACTCAACCCAGGTCACTTTTTAATCGGTAGGCCGTTGACTTCGCTGCCCTCACCGAGTTACGTGGACGTCCCCACTCACCGTCACGACCGCTACAAGCAAATAAGGCAACATTTTTGGAATAGATGGTCAACTGAATACATAGCTGAACTTTAACAAAGAACCAAATGGAAGTCAGTATGTGAACAACTTCAACAAGGTGATCTTGTTATCATAAAGGAGCAACATACTCCACCACTGTGCTGGCGTCTCGGACGAGTTGACAAACTGTATCCAGGATCCGATGGCATCGCCAGGGTTGCCGATATCAAAACTGCCAACGGCGTGGTTCGCCGTGCACTCAACCGCCTCTGCAAGCTGCCCGATTCCGAAGCCTAGCCTACTGAACAATGATGCTTGAAATCCCAAGATTTCAATGGCCGGGGAGGATGTCTATGCCCCTAAAAAACAACATTCGATCGCCACAGCCAATCAAGAAGCCTCGCTGTAGTGTATGTGATTTTAAAATGTTAGCAAGTATGTAATAAAATACAGTTCATAGATCGAAATGAAGGTATTTTCATTTATATTGCCTGTTAATACACGAATATAAATGCCCACTGTTTCGAGCGCACCGTGTAAGTATCACGAGAGCCGCGGGCGAGAGTGGACGCGTAGTGAAACTATTGAGTTTACGTGTGTGAACCAGTGAATTGCTGTGAAGTATCGACTATTACAAGTGGCGACGAGGTAAAGGTAGGAAAAATTAAATATAGATATAACATTTATTTATTTGCTTTTTAGTATGTATGTTACAAAAGATATATCAAAATTAATCATTATTAAAACGTTAAAATAGCAACAACAAATAATCCATCCAATTAACCTAAATATATCAAAAGTAAAAAAAAAAATTAACAAATGAAGAAAAATTGATTACACAACATAACACACGACATATAGGTATAATACTATATTACTGCATAACAATCATAAATTATATATTAACACACAGGTCTAAATATTACATCCAAGATTATATTAGAGCCTCCATCTTCTAAACCAAAATAATCGAAGTACCTAATTCGTAAAAGAAATGTTGCACTGGTTCTACAGTTTTTGGTTATGTTTCGGTTGTCATTTGCGCATTCAGTAGCAAACCATTACTACTGATATCGATATTTGAAAACTGTTTTCAATAACGATTATATGAAAACTAAATATCGGTTATGTAACCGTTGCAGCTAAAAACTAAAACGACCATACTTATTTGTAAGTAATTTTATAACTAATTTATTAAAATTGTTTTGGAAAAATCTCTTTGCGTCGGCTTTCATATATAATTAAATATATTCGACACTAGATGGCGACACTTTATGTCATGGGAACTAAAAATATAAAGGTACGTAGAGCTCAGCATTGGTAAAATAATCATACGAGTGCTGAAATTTTGTTTTGCATTCAGCCTTAAAGAATATTTAATCGCCAAAATATTATTTTTATAATCATTTTGTGAATAGGCCGCCATCTATCGTCAAGAAGTGAACGTAGCCCTCACCTCGCAAATTGTCACGCGTTGTTACATAGTGAAATCTAATTAAAACACCTCCTTGTATTTGCTCCGTGATAAAAACCAATGGGTTTCACCTCACGACATCATCAGGGAAAAACTAGTAAGGTCAACCGGGGCTAAGGCGTCTTAGGGGTTAAGGCGTCACATTCAAATATCATATGAAATACGAATTTAAGAACTACTCACGCCATCTTTTAAACATATTTAGCACCAGACTAAAATATTTAATTAGTAGATGTCGATACTGGCCTCATTTTTGTTTAAATTTTCGCCATCTTGAATATGTCACTTCACTTCGAAGCTCGGGTTAGTGATATGTGGTTATTGAATCCCCTTAAATCTCAGTGTTTTCTAGACTATCGGTGTTTTTTACCTGTAAGTACCTTTCATTCTGAAATGTTTTACGGTTTGTTTTAATTATTTTTAGTAAAGGCCTAAAGATTAATTGTCCACTTGCAGTTAAAATATTTTAGGTTATGTTTCTTTATCAGGGCTATCGCGTCTGCCTTATTGGGGTGATTGCGTCTATTGTAACGCAATAGCCCCATTGTATGAGGTCCTAAACCTTTTTATTTTAAGATAACAATAATGCAATAATTGATCTAAATACATATACACTAAAATCATTTTTTTAAATATAGTTATACCATACTTATATATGGATGGATGAATATATGCATGTTTGTTACTCTTTCACGCCTAAACGAAAGAACAGATTTTGATGAAATTTGGTATGGAGATAGATTAGACCCTGGATTAATAAATACATAATAGGCTTTTAACAGACTTTGGAACAAGTAGGTGGTTTCTCGCGAGTGAAACGGAATTACTTTAAATATTACAAACAAAATATATTGTTTGTAATATTTGAAGTTTTTTTTTTGGGTAATTTCACTGTTTATTTGACACATTTTTCTAGATGGTCTTTGTAATTAAACCTAAATTTTTCTTTTAGATTTTTTAAAATGGTTCGTTCATATAAAAGAAAAACAATACCAACTTACGATCTTGAAACCTTAAAGAAAGCAGTAGATGAAGTCAAAACTGGCAAAATAAATTCGTACCAAGCTGCAAAAAAGTATAACATTCCTCGTATGACTATATGTGATAGAGTAAATAACAAAAAAGGTATCGTAAAGGAGAGCCGAGGACCACCTACAGTGATTGACAGAGAAAATGAGCTCAAACTTGCAAATGGTTTACGGGTTATGGAAAAATATGGGTTCGGACTCACTTCCAAAGAAACGCTAGATTTAGTTGCCGTACACGTGAGTGAAAATAACTACAAAACACCATTCAAAAACAACAGACCCGGTTATGATTGGTTTGCTGCCTTCAAGAAGAGGGACAATTTGTCCTTAAAAAAACCTCAGGCGGTGGAAATGTCAAGAAAAGTGGCATGTGACCCTTTTATTGTTAATGAGTATTTTGATACTCTTGATGGAGTTTTGAGTGAACTTAATTTAAAAGGAAGACCTGATAAAATTTGGAACCTTGACGAGTCAAGTTTTGGAAAAGATCCCGAACGAACAAAAGTGGTTGGAGCCCGTGGATGTGCCAGTACACGCACAATCGCGTCATCTGGAGAAGATAATGTCACAATTTTGTTCACAGTCAACGCAATCGGTGACAAATTACCACCGTTGATTATACACAGAGGAAAAAATACGTAGGACCAATGGCTCTCAGATAAAGGATTTGAAAACACATCCTACGCTGCCACTAAAAATGGATGGATCGATGCAAAAGTATTTGAAAAGTACATGTTGAACACAGTGCTACCGCGTTTAAGTGAAGATCCACCCGCTTTATTAATATTTGATGGCCATTCTACCCATATCCAACTTAAAATTTTAGAAGAAGCACAAAAACGAGGCGTAACTATTATAAAATTACCATCACATGCAAGCCATCTTCTGCAGCCATTAGATTTATCAGTTTTTAAATCAATGAAAAACACTTGGGATGCAAAACTTGTGCATTGGCAACGGTTAAATGTGGGCACTAAATTGCCAAAAGATGAGTTTAGTCGCCTTCTTGGAGAAGTGTGGCGTGAATTAGACACAAAAATAATTAGAAATGGCTTTAAAAAAGGGGGCATATATCCATTTGAGAGAAACGTAGTTGCAGACGAAAAATTTGATCCAGAATCATTGAAAAGGTTCAGGGAACATAAAACGATACCAAAACAGATTCAGACATTAAAAAAGTTAAGTTTGGCGGCCGTTACCCAAGAGTTGAGCATTAGCAAAAATCCCATAGCAGCGTCATCAAAATTAGTTTTGCCAAACCAGGAGATGAAATTTGATAAGTCTAATGATTCAAAGGCAGCTTTTGTAGCAGCTTCAAAGGAAATAGGGCAATTTTTAAAGACAAATAAATACTCTATTTGGGACTTTGCTGCTCGCCAATCTATTGAATTTCGTTTTTCGCCTGCGTACGCTCCTCATTTCAATGGTCTGGCGGAGGCTGGTGTAAAGTCAGTCAAGTTTCATCTTCATAGAATTCTAGGCCATTCTCATCTAACATTTGAAGAGTTAGCTTCCGTATTTACACAGATAGAAGCTATCCTAAGCAGCCGCCCCCTATGTCCTTTCTCCCCATCACCTAAAGACTTCCAGTCACTCAACCCAGGTCACTTTTTAATCGGTAGGCCGTTGACTTCGCTGCCCTCACCGAGTTACGTGGACGTCCCCACTCACCGTCACGACCGCTACAAGCAAATAAGGCAACATTTTTGGAATAGATGGTCAACTGAATACATAGCTGAACTTTAACAAAGAACCAAATGGAAGTCAGTATGTGAACAACTTCAACAAGGTGATCTTGTTATCATAAAGGAGCAACATACTCCACCACTGTGCTGGCGTCTCGGACGAGTTGACAAACTGTATCCAGGATCCGATGGCATCGCCAGGGTTGCCGATATCAAAACTGCCAACGGCGTGGTTCGCCGTGCACTCAACCGCCTCTGCAAGCTGCCCGATTCCGAAGCCTAGCCTACTGAACAATGATGCTTGAAATCCCAAGATTTCAATGGCCGGGGAGGATGTCTATGCCCCTAAAAAACAACATTCGATCGCCACAGCCAATCAAGAAGCCTCGCTGTAGTGTATGTGATTTTAAAATGTTAGCAAGTATGTAATAAAATACAGTTCATAGATCGAAATGAAGGTATTTTCATTTATATTGCCTGTTAATACACGAATATAAATGCCCACTGTTTCGAGCGCACCGTGTAAGTATCACGAGAGCCGCGGGCGAGAGTGGACGCGTAGTGAAACTATTGAGTTTACGTGTGTGAACCAGTGAATTGCTGTGAAGTATCGACTATTACAAGTGGCGACGAGGTAAAGGTAGGAAAAATTAAATATAGATATAACATTTATTTATTTGCTTTTTAGTATGTATGTTACAAAAGATATATCAAAATTAATCATTATTAAAACGTTAAAATAGCAACAACAAATAATCCATCCAATTAACCTAAATATATCAAAAGTAAAAAAAAAAATTAACAAATGAAGAAAAATTGATTACACAACATAACACACGACATATAGGTATAATACTATATTACTGCATAACAATCATAAATTATATATTAACACACAGGTCTAAATATTACATCCAAGATTATATTAGAGCCTCCATCTTCTAAACCAAAATAATCGAAGTACCTAATTCGTAAAAGAAATGTTGCACTGGTTCTACAGTTTTTGGTTATGTTTCGGTTGTCATTTGCGCATTCAGTAGCAAACCATTACTACTGATATCGATATTTGAAAACTGTTTTCAATAACGATTATATGAAAACTAAATATCGGTTATGTAACCGTTGCAGCTAAAAACTAAAACGACCATACTTATTTGTAAGTAATTTTATAACTAATTTATTAAAATTGTTTTGGAAAAATCTCTTTGCGTCGGCTTTCATATATAATTAAATATATTCGACACTAGATGGCGACACTTTATGTCATGGGAACTAAAAATATAAAGGTACGTAGAGCTCAGCATTGGTAAAATAATCATACGAGTGCTGAAATTTTGTTTTGCATTCAGCCTTAAAGAATATTTAATCGCCAAAATATTATTTTTATAATCATTTTGTGAATAGGCCGCCATCTATCGTCAAGAAGTGAACGTAGCCCTCACCTCGCAAATTGTCACGCGTTGTTACATAGTGAAATCTAATTAAAACACCTCCTTGTATTTGCTCCGTGATAAAAACCAATGGGTTTCACCTCACGACATCATCAGGGAAAAACTAGTAAGGTCAACCGGGGCTAAGGCGTCTTAGGGGTTAAGGCGTCACATTCAAATATCATATGAAATACGAATTTAAGAACTACTCACGCCATCTTTTAAACATATTTAGCACCAGACTAAAATATTTAATTAGTAGATGTCGATACTGGCCTCATTTTTGTTTAAATTTTCGCCATCTTGAATATGTCACTTCACTTCGAAGCTCGGGTTAGTGATATGTGGTTATTGAATCCCCTTAAATCTCAGTGTTTTCTAGACTATCGGTGTTTTTTACCTGTAAGTACCTTTCATTCTGAAATGTTTTACGGTTTGTTTTAATTATTTTTAGTAAAGGCCTAAAGATTAATTGTCCACTTGCAGTTAAAATATTTTAGGTTATGTTTCTTTATCAGGGCTATCGCGTCTGCCTTATTGGGGTGATTGCGTCTATTGTAACGCAATAGCCCCATTGTATGAGGTCCTAAACCTTTTTATTTTAAGATAACAATAATGCAATAATTGATCTAAATACATATACACTAAAATCATTTTTTTAAATATAGTTATACCATACTTATATATGGATGGATGAATATATGCATGTTTGTTACTCTTTCACGCCTAAACGAAAGAACAGATTTTGATGAAATTTGGTATGGAGATAGATTAGACCCTGGATTAATAAATACATAATAGGCTTTTAACAGACTTTGGAACAAGTAGGTGGTTTCTCGCGAGTGAAACGGAATTACTTTAAATATTACAAACAAAATATATTGTTTGTAATATTTGAAGTTTTTTTTTGGGTAATTTCACTGTTTATTTGACACATTTTTCTAGATGGTCTTTGTAATTAAACCTAAATTTTTCTTTTAGATTTTTTAAAATGGTTCGTTCATATAAAAGAAAAACAATACCAACTTACGATCTTGAAACCTTAAAGAAAGCAGTAGATGAAGTCAAAACTGGCAAAATAAATTCGTACCAAGCTGCAAAAAAGTATAACATTCCTCGTATGACTATATGTGATAGAGTAAATAACAAAAAAGGTATCGTAAAGGAGAGCCGAGGACCACCTACAGTGATTGACAGAGAAAATGAGCTCAAACTTGCAAATGGTTTACGGGTTATGGAAAAATATGGGTTCGGACTCACTTCCAAAGAAACGCTAGATTTAGTTGCCGTACACGTGAGTGAAAATAACTACAAAACACCATTCAAAAACAACAGACCCGGTTATGATTGGTTTGCTGCCTTCAAGAAGAGGGACAATTTGTCCTTAAAAAAACCTCAGGCGGTGGAAATGTCAAGAAAAGTGGCATGTGACCCTTTTATTGTTAATGAGTATTTTGATACTCTTGATGGAGTTTTGAGTGAACTTAATTTAAAAGGAAGACCTGATAAAATTTGGAACCTTGACGAGTCAAGTTTTGGAAAAGATCCCGAACGAACAAAAGTGGTTGGAGCCCGTGGATGTGCCAGTACACGCACAATCGCGTCATCTGGAGAAGATAATGTCACAATTTTGTTCACAGTCAACGCAATCGGTGACAAATTACCACCGTTGATTATACACAGAGGAAAAAATACGTAGGACCAATGGCTCTCAGATAAAGGATTTGAAAACACATCCTACGCTGCCACTAAAAATGGATGGATCGATGCAAAAGTATTTGAAAAGTACATGTTGAACACAGTGCTACCGCGTTTAAGTGAAGATCCACCCGCTTTATTAATATTTGATGGCCATTCTACCCATATCCAACTTAAAATTTTAGAAGAAGCACAAAAACGAGGCGTAACTATTATAAAATTACCATCACATGCAAGCCATCTTCTGCAGCCATTAGATTTATCAGTTTTTAAATCAATGAAAAACACTTGGGATGCAAAACTTGTGCATTGGCAACGGTTAAATGTGGGCACTAAATTGCCAAAAGATGAGTTTAGTCGCCTTCTTGGAGAAGTGTGGCGTGAATTAGACACAAAAATAATTAGAAATGGCTTTAAAAAAGGGGGCATATATCCATTTGAGAGAAACGTAGTTGCAGACGAAAAATTTGATCCAGAATCATTGAAAAGGTTCAGGGAACATAAAACGATACCAAAACAGATTCAGACATTAAAAAAGTTAAGTTTGGCGGCCGTTACCCAAGAGTTGAGCATTAGCAAAAATCCCATAGCAGCGTCATCAAAATTAGTTTTGCCAAACCAGGAGATGAAATTTGATAAGTCTAATGATTCAAAGGTAATTAGAATTATTGAAGATAGAATTTTGGCTCCCTCGGAAAGAGTTTCTTTCGAAACTTTATTATTGCAGACAATAAAGAAAAGTGACTCGACAATAAAATTGAAAAAAACTAAAATTGCTAGGGGGTGTGAAATAATAACGCGAGAACAGTTTATAGAAAAAAAACGATAC